TCACGTCTACATACCCCCATGTACTTCCTCCTGGGAAATTTTGCCTTTCTTGAAATCTGGTATGTTTCCTCCACTATTCCTAACATACTAGCCAACATTCTATCTACGACCAAAGCCATCTCATTTTCAGGATGCTTCCTGCAGTTCTATTTTTTCTCTTCACTGGGTACAACTGAATGCTTCCTCCTGGCAGTAATGGCTTATGATAGGTACCTGGCCATTTGCCGCCCCTTACATTACCCTGTCATCATGACTAGGAGGCTTTCTTGCATTCTGGTATCTTCATGCTGGCTCATTGGATTCCTTGGGTACTCAATCCCTGTCTTCTCCATCTCCCAACTTCCCTTCTGTGGTTCTAATATCATTGATCACTTCCTCTGTGACATGGACCCATTGATGGCTTTGTCCTGTTCCCCAGCTCCTATTACTGAATTTATTTTTTATGTCCAAAGTTCCTTTTACCTGTTTTTCACTCTTGCGTACATTCTTTGGTCCTATGTTTTGTTGCTCAGGGCTGTTTTTCAGGTTCCTTCTGCAGCTGGCAGGCGAAAGGCCTTCTCTACCTGTGGTTCCCATTTAATTGTAGTGTCACTGTTCTATGGGACAGTAATGGTAATGTACGTGAGTCCTACATATGGCATTTCAACTTTGATGCAGAAGATCCTTACACTTGTATACTCTGTAATGACTCCTCTCTTTAATCCTCTGATTTATAGTCTTCGTAACAAGGACATGAAACTTGCTCTGAGGAAAGTTCTGTTAGGAATGAGAATTGTCAAAAATATATGAGTCAAAGTTGTATCATACTTACATGTTCTAATAAAAAACAAACTGGAGATGTATGAAGATGTATTAATTCATTCAACTATCTTTACTCTTTGTTCTATTTTTTTTTTGAGGCCTGGCTAGCCTCAAACTCACTCTCTAGCCAAGAATGACCTTGAAAAGATCTGATTCCTCTGCCTCCATATTCCAAGTACTAGGATTATGGATGTGTACTACCATGCTAGGCTTTAAACTTGTTTTCCAAACTCAGTGATATTTTTAAAAGTCTAAATAAAATGTGATTCCTATGTAGGATGTTCTCCTACTCAGGTGCCCATTTTTTTTCATTGAAAACCTCCATCATTGTGACAGGACAATGAAGTCAACTTTATTTATAGTTGTGTTGAGATTAGTATTTTCAAGATGAAAGCTAAAAATTGCTTTTCAGTTCCAACTAAGGTATCATATGTGCTGGAAATAAAGACGATTTGGTTCAGTTCAATTTTCAGAACTGGAAAAAGAGACATGGTTTAGAATCTAGACCAAAAGAATAAAGAGGTGAAGCTTTTGTACGAGAATATGGACTAATCTTCAGAGTACTTCTACTAGAACTATTTCAGTGTCTGATGAGAGGCTTAGTGGGCGTAGTATCTTCCCACAAAGCCTAATGTCCTGATTTCAATCCATAAGGCCCATGCAGTAGAGAGGAGAAATCTACTCCTACACGTTGTCTTTTCTCTTTCACATGGGTGCAGTTGCTTATACTCCTCCAACATAATTAAATAGAGGGTATAATTTAAAAATTCATTTCCAGCTGGGCGGTGGTGGCGCACGCCTTTAATCCCAGCACTTGGGAGGCAGAGGCAGGTGGATTTCTGAGTTCAAGGCCAGCCTGGTCTACAGAGTGAGTTCCAGGACAGCCAGGGCTACACAGAGAAACTCTGTCTCAAAAAACAAAAAAAAATTTCATTTCCGATATAGAAAGCATACTTACTAACACTGTCTTAAACAGAAATTTCTAAAAAACTCTAAGGATTCTGACATTAATAATGAGGCAAATAGCTTGAAAATAGGTGGTTAGCATGCTATCATATAACACTAAAGACCATAAAAATGATAGTAGGATATGGAAGGTCGATGATGATCTAATAGTATCATCTGGATTTTAATCTAGTTTTATTATTTTCCTTTTTTTTTACTATTTTATTTATAGTTATTTAGCTTATTTTGATTATGGTTCCCCTCCCCTATCTGCTTCCAGATCATTTTTACCTCCTCACTGATTCAACTCCATTCTTTCTTTCTCATTTTCTTTAGAAATGAAACAGAAAAAAAAGACTAAAAAATAGTAAAAAAAAAAAGCATCAAACACATACACACACACACACAAAAACCTTAAAACACAAAATATGAAACCGTAGCATACAAGCAATAGAACAGGAAGATAAAAATGCCCAAATAAAGCAACATGAGACAGAGAACAAACACTCCCCAACCCCAAATCAAAAAAATCCCAAAACAAACCAACCTACTACGAAGCATGAGGTCTATGCTAAGTTTATATACCCAGTGAGACTCCATTGTAGAAAACGATTTCTTTTCTATAGGCAGTTGTCAATTGGAGAGAGCTTACTGATTAGGGATGGGAGTTCCTGTCTACTTCCACTTTCAGCACTGGGACCATATCTGGCCTGAATCTATGCAGACTTTGTGCATGCTGCCACAGTTCCTGTGAATTCATATGAGTATCAGATCAGTTGCTGTGTCTTGAAGACACTGTTTCCTTGGTGCCTTCTGTAGTGGTTTGAAAATGCTTGGCCCAGGGAGTGGCACTGTTTGGGGGTGTGGCCTTGTTGGAGTATGTGTGTCAATATGGGCTTGGGCTGTAAGACCCTCATCCTAGCTTCCTGGAAGCCAGTCTTTTCCTGTTTGCCTACAGATGAGGATGTAAAATTTTCAGTTCCACCTGCACCATGCCTGCTTGGATGCTGCCGTGCTCCTGCCTTGATGATAATGGACTGAACCTATGAACCTGTAAGCCAGCCCCAGTTAAATGTTGTCCTTTATAAGACTTGCCTTGGTCATGGTATCTGTTGACAGCAGTAAAAGCCTAACAAAGACATAAATTAGTACCAAGGACTGGGGTATTGGTATGATAGGGATGGCCATGCTTTTGTTTGGAAAAATGTGGATTTTGGGAATTTGGAAGCAGTGGAATCCTTTAAGTGGGGCTTAATGGGCTATCTTAGTAGAAGTATGGAAGTCTTTGTTGCTAAGAGTGATTTGAATTGTGCAGACCTGGCCCAAAGAGGTTTCAGTGTAGAAGAGTTCCAGTATGTGGCACAGAGACTGTTTTTATGGTTTTTGGTAAAGAATGTGGCTGCTTTTTGCCATTGTCCAAAGAGCCTGCCTGAGCCTAGACTCTTTGGTAAACAGATTTTGATTAATAGCTTTGAAAAAGGAAGTCTCTAAACATTCTGGTATAAATTCTGTTGGGTGGTTACTAAGGTTCATTTTTTTTTGAAATTTTAAAAGATAACTTTTATTCAATAAACACAAGGTTTATAAACACATCTCATGAATACTATGATATGATTATTGTTCATTTAATGTCAACTTGTCACAAATTAGAATTGCCTGAGTAGCAGCCTTACCTGAAGAAATCTCCCTATTGCCCTCATGTGACATGGCAATGCCCACCCCATATATGGGCAGCATCTTCAGGTAGCAACCCAGCCTCTCCAAAAGGGAGTATTTCAAAGAGAATTTTATTGTCTCCCCTTCTGCTCTGTTGGCTGTCCCCTTTGCTCCTTGAGCTGATTTGTCCTGTTGTTAAGGCAGCTAGTTCCTTCACTCCTATCAGAACCAACATTTTCAAGCTTCCATCCTGAAATATGGACTGGCTGCTCTCAAGGAACTTTCCAGGATCCCTGCCAAACTAAGACAACTGAGGTACCACAGACTGTAGTATGAGTAACTATGGATTGTCTCCCCACAGTGAGAGACAGCTATTCTGGGACTACTCTAACTGTTGAGACACCAGCCAGCCTCAAGAACAGAGCTTCAGATTCTCTTCTCTCCTCTCCTCTCCTCTCCTGTCCTCTCCTCTCCTGTCCTCTCCTCTCCTGTCCTCTCCTCTCCTCTCTTCTCTCTCTCCCCTCCTCCTATCTCATCTCTCTCTCTCTCTCTCTCTCTCTTTCTCTCTCTCTCTCTCTCTCTCTCCCTCCC